TGAAAATTGTTCCACAAACGAACCACACACACACATCAAACAAAAACGAAGCACATATACCCATACATACGAGTAAAAATAGTTGCAAACATATACACTTACGTACGTACACATGCGGTATCATCTACACATTCATGAGGCATGTATGTATAATGCGCGTATGTTTAACTGTCTTTAGATTTCTGCTACGTCGCATGTCAGTCCCTCCCTGCCCTCTTTCACTTTATTGTTCCTTTCGCTTCTGTTACCTTTTAATGTAGCCAAGGGTCATAACAAATATGTATCCATTATTTGACATTAAACGTAGGCAACGCAACTTGGTAAAATAAGTCTCATGAAAGATAACTGGCAGATAGTCTAAAAATAGAGTCATTGGTAATCAGGCTCGCGGGCCGGTCAAAATGACATCGCGGGCCGGATCCGGCCCCTGGGCCATAGGTTGCCGACCCTTGCCCTAGGTGGAACTCGTGCATACGATCCATTGTTAAATATGATCGAAAAATAGTCGCTTTCCTGTACCTCACCATTAAGAAGACAGAAGATAGTGACTGACATTACATTTAAACTTTTGAAGATCAAAGTTGACTGGGAGGCAAGAAGCCAGAAGAGAGTTCCACAAGTGAGAAGTGCGATGGAAAAAAGCATTAAACTTATGGTTATATCAAAACATTTCAACTGTTAAATGACGTGAACTTGCCACCAATCTAGTATTCTTGAAGTTTTTATACCAAAAGAGGAAAGCTCATCAGAACAATTACCATGAAAATATTTATAGAAAAGGCAGAGGGAAGCTATATTATGGCTTAAATTCCTAAAGTCTTGGTACCAAAGAGGAAAGCTCATCAGAACAATTAGCATGAAAATATTTATAGAAAAGGCAGAGGGAAGCTACGTTACGACAGTGAAAACAGATTTTAGCTGGAGCGGAACCCGCGCAAGATGGATTGTTAAAATGAACGTCGAAAAGACACTCTTGTCCCTAACTATATGAATACAGTTTCGCTTTTCTCTATAAATGTTGTTTAGAAGAACAATGCAAGTTTTACATTCTTGATATCAAGGAATTGTAAAGAACGTTAGAAATAAAAGAAAGAAATAAAGAACCAGAGACAGAAAGAAAGTTTTCTTTAAAAAATGGTAAATGTCGGGCGAAGAAAGAATGTTTACGTTTTAATTGTACGTCTGCTAGTTCCATTTTTTTTCCCAGCACAATTTTATCCCATGACTTTCGCATTTATTTATTTATTTTTTTTAATACTAAAATATTTTTGGCTAGACACTTCGTTGTTAAATTCTCAGATTGTTGTGATATATTATGAATTTTTCTTCAAAATTTAATTTAATTTATTTATTTATTTTTGTTATTTCTTTATTTTTTGTGAATGAAAGCTTTTGAAATTACGGAGGACAAAGAGAAATTCGTTAGAGGAGTAGAAAGAGTTAAGAGACGTAAGTGAGAGGGAGAAGAAGATAAGAGAAAGAAGGTTAGAACATTGTGAGAGTAAATGACAAAATCGGAGAGGCCAATAAGGAAAGAAAGAAAGTATGTAACAGTGCATCCAATCTAGTAATATAATAATATTGAAGTAATATTATGTATTGCATTATATAGGGGTGTTCCAATAACTTGGACTGATTTTAAATGCGAATTAAGTTTAAGTGTTTAATGATTTTTTTTCTTTCAGATTTAACAACTTAAGTCTTTAACAAATTCCTCCATAGAAAGATTAACAATTAAACGTGTTAAAGTTATCGAAGTCTATTACAAAAATGGACGTTCAAATTTATAAATATACGGCCCAATGATTCCGTTAGCAAGAAAAAAAAATGCACACCAAACAGTGACCTTTTGTGGATGCTGTGGCTTTTCAACAATCCTCCTTGGATTTTCATCAGCCCAAATGCGAGAATTCTGCTTATTAACGAATCCACCAAGATGAAAATGTGCTTCATCACTAAAGAGGATTTTCTTGCGAAAAATCTTCATCGTGCACCCTATTGATAAATCTACGGCGCTCCAAATGGTCACCAGGTTTCAGTTCTTGTGTCAATTGAATTTTATAAGCGTGTAGAGACAAATCTTTTGTCAAAATTCGATGTAACGTTGTGGAGAGGTCCAATTCCTTCGCGCGATGACGAATAGTGGGGTCTGGATTTTCAGCCACATTCTCGTGCACTGCAGCAATGTTTTCAGCTGAACGGCGCAAACGAGCACGCAATGGTGTTTTCACATCCCCCACCGCCCCAGTTTGTTTGAATTTACGAACAATTTTTCCACTTGCACTCTCGGTTGGTCGATTATGTTGACCAAAATATTCGCGAAGTGCTTTCTTTCTCTTTGAACGTCCATTTTCGTAATAGGCTTCGATAACTTTAACACATTTTTTGATTGTTAATCTTTCCATGGCTGAAATTGCCAAAGACTTAAGTTGTTAAATCTGAAAGAAAAAGAAAAAATCATTAGACGCTTAAACTTAATTCACATTTAAAATCAGTCTAAATTACTGGATCACCCTATATTAATAATATATTAAAATAATAATAAAATTACCAATATAATAATATTAGCATAATTTTATTAAATTCTACGCTTTCCTTAATACCGAAATCTATCTATAATATTCAGTAACTTTCGTCCGTTCGTCTGTCAAACCGTCTAAAATAGCCATATACTGACGGATCCAAACCAAATTTTGGGGAGAAGTGCAAACAGATAAGTGGCTACAATATACAATTGGTTTTACTAAGGTGCGTAACTTAGTATAATAAATTTTCATTATTTGGGAAAGATTAAAAGTTTTATTATTTAATATACAACATACTCCAACTATTTTAAAATCAATTTAATTATTAAAATAACAAATACTTATTCAATAAAAATGCAATATTGTTTGTTGCATATCTTTTCTTTAAGTTTTTATATACAAGAATCCAGTTTCCAGTTCAACCTGCGTTTGCGAGAACTATAAACATATCACAGGGTCAAACACCTCAAAAAGTTGGAATTTGGCGACAGAAAAAAAAAGTATTTACGTATGACCAGTTGTATGTTACATCCTCAAGAGTAAGAAATACTAAGAATGTATTCTTCGCTGTTAAAAAGAAAAAAGACATTTTCTTAAAAAGTATTGTTTACCACGAAGTCCTACAAAATTAAATTAAATTAAAGAAACCGCGGAGTAGGGTTTTTTGTCAAAGTATTTTTCTAAACATAGCATATTGAAATTTCATCGATTGGTTTGCGAAATTGAACGAAATATAGAGTTTGTAAATCTTGACAAAAATGTTAGCAGTAACTTCAACAATACTAAATATAGTTGGAATTTGGCTCCAGAAAGAAATATTTACGCATGACCAGTTGTATGTTGCATGCTCAAGAGTAAGAAATCCTAAGAATTTATTCTTCGCTGTTAAAAAGAAAAAACAGAAATTTTCTTAAGAAAATATTGTTTACCACGAAGTCCTATAAAATTAAATTAAATTAAAGAAACCGCGAAGTAAGGTTTTTTGTCAAAGTATTTTTTCTAAATATATCAGCTTATTGAAATTTCTTCGATTTGTTTGCGAAATTGAACGAAACAGAGAGATTGTAAATTTCAACAAAACTGTCAGTGATAACTTCAGCAATACTAAATACTGTGAGAATTTCAACACGGTAACGCGTGTGGCAAAAAATTCTTGTAATATATATTCAAATTATATTTTTAATTTTAAGTACTTAGTATTTTCATTGGATAATACGCACTTTATTTTTAACATATTTTGTATGTACAAACTTTTTGGATTATATATGTTTATGGATATTTATTTGTTAATTTTATTAACTATTAATATTTTTAAAATTAACCGCAGTGTTTCCAAGTAACGGGATTGCTGTGATAAAGATTTTTTTTCTTTAGATTTTTTTCAAATGTTTAGAGAAGGGAGGTTGAGTGGAGTAAAACGTCAACAAAGAAATAAAAACATTAAGCAAAAGAATATTGGTGAAAGAAAGAAAGAAAGAAAGAAAGAAAGAAAGAAAGAAAGAAAGAAAGAAAAGTATGTGAGAAAAAAGAAGGATGAAAAAAGCAGAAAGGAATTATGAAAAGAAGGAAAGAAAGAGAGAGAGATAATTATGAAAAGAAGGTAAGGACAGAAAGAAAGAAAGAAAGAAAGAAAGAAAGAAAGAAAGCAGGGGAAAAGAAAAAAAGAAAGAAAGAAAGAAAATTGTAGTCGATGAAGAAACAAAAAAACAAAAGAAAGAAAGCAAAATGTAGTCAACGAAGAAAAACAAACGAGAGAGAGAGAGAGAGAGGGAGAGAGAGAGAGATAAGAGATAAAAAGAAGAAAGAAAAAGTAAAAAAGAATTATAAAAAGAATTTTAGAACTGAAAGAAAAAAGAGAGTAAAATGTAGTCGACGAAGCAACAAACAAACGAAAGAAAGAAAGAAAGAAAGAAATAAAGAAAGAAAGCAGGGAAAAGAATGAAAGAAATAAAGAAAGAAAGAAAGCAGGGGAAAAGAAAGAAAGAAATAAAGCAGAGGAAAAGAAAGAAAGAAAGAAAGCAGGGGAAAAGAAAGAAAGAAAGAAAGCAGGGGAAAAGAAAGAAAGAAAGAAAGAAAGAAAGGTATTTGAGAAAATACCAAGAAAAAAGTGGAAAAAAGTAGACAAGAATTATTAAGAGAAAGAAAGAAAGAAAAATTTAGTAAAAAACCCCCCCCAAAAAAACAAATAAACAAAAGAAAAAACTCAAAAATGACAATATGTAAAAAGAAAAAAAAAGAATGAAGTGTGGCAGGAAGGAAGGAAGGAAAGAAAGGAAGGAAGAACGAATATGAGTAAGAAAAAAACGGTAAGAATAAAATCAGATAAAAAAATAAAGATCTTCGGCACAAACCAACTGAGACAAAAATGTCTACGGCCGGACTCACGTGAGACTATAGAGCAAAAACGCAAACGTTAATGGTGGTGCCGTCGTCTTTCAGGAAGCGCGGGAATCTAGACACAATGGGACCCCGTCGATGAGGGCGTGCTGTGACCTGCAACGTCTCGCCCAACTGAGCAACTCGACATCAAGATGCCATGAAGCATTGCCCTATTCAGTGAAACTCCTCGCTTGCAACGGAGCGACCGCCTCAGCCCTAATGGCTCGTGCGTCGCTCTCTTTTGTTTGAGGTACTTTTAGCATTCGTTGAAAGCTAAGAAATGGATCGACCCCAAAACCATGTCGCTGAGTTGTAAAAGCATTGCCGCAAGATGGGTTAAGTGCAGTGTGAGGTGACTTGCCATTTTTAGAGATTTCTTTCTTTCTTTCTTTCTTTCTTTCTTTCTTTCTTTCTTTCTTTCTTTCTTTGTTCGTTTGTTTGTCTGTTTCTTTGTTTCTTTCTTTCTCCCTGCTTTCTTTCTTTCATTCTTTTTCCATGCTTTCTTTCTTTCTTTCTTTCTTTCTTTCTTTGTTCGTTTGTTTGTTTGTTTGTTTCTTTCTTTGTTCGTTTGTTTGTCTGTTTGTTTGTTTCTTTTTTCTTTTTCCTTTCTTTTCTTTTTTTCTTTTTCCATGCTTTCTTTCTTTTTTTTTTCTTTCTTTCTTTTCTTTTTCTTTCTTTCTTTTTTTCTTTCTTTTCTTCTTTTGTTTTTGTTTGTTCTTTTTTTTCTTCTTTTTCTTTCTTTCTTTCTTTCTTTTTTTTCATTTTTTTTCTTCTTTTTTTCCATGCTTTTCTTTCTTTCTTTCTTTCTTTCTTTCTTTCTTTTCTTTCTTTCTTTCTTTCTTTCTTTCTTTCTTTTTCTTTCTTTCTTTTTTGTTCGTTTGTTTGTCTGTTTGTTTGTTTTATTTCTTTCTCCCTGCTTTCTTTCTTTTTCTCCTGCTTTCTTTCTTTTCATTCTTTTCCATTATTTTCTTTCTTTCTTTCTTTCTTTCTTTCTTTCTTTCTTTCTTTCTTTTTTTTTCGTTTGTTTGTCTGTTTGTTTGTTTGTTTCTTTCTCCTGCTTTTTTTCTTTCTCCCTGCTTTCTTTTTTTTTTCTTTTTTGCTTTCTTTTCTTTCTTTCTTTCTTTCTTTCTTTCTTTCTTTCTTTCTTCGTTTGTTTGTTTGTTTGTTTCTTTCTTTCTCCCTGCTTTCTTTCTTTCTCCCTGCTTTCTTTCTTTCATTCTTTTTCCATGCTTTCTTTCTTTCTTTCTTTCTTTCTTTCTTTCTTTCTTTCTTTCTTTTAAGCACTTCCGTCCGAGGATGAGTGCTTTTTGTACTTTTTAAAACTATTTTTTATAATTTTAATCTGGTTTCTTTATTACAATCATTTTCTTTTACTTTTTCTTTCTTTTACAATTTTTTCTCTTCTCTTCTCTTCTCTTCTCTTCTCTTCTTTCTTTCTTTCTTTCTTTCTTTCTTTAGATGCTGCACATTCGTTAAGAATTTAAAACAAATTTCTAAACATCGATAAAACTTTCTTAAATACGAATTATTACATTCTTTATTTTAGCTTTCTTTCTTTCTTTCTTTCTTTCTTTCTTTCTTTCTTTCTTTCTTTCTTTAAATCAGTAAAAATTTATTTCATTCATATAAATATATACATTTCTTTTTCCTTCTTTTCCTTTTCCTATGACCCTTTCTTTTCATGGCCTTTTTCTTTCTTTCTTTCTTTCTTTCTTTCTTTCTTTCTTTCTTTCTTTAAGATTTTGTTGAAGGTAGAAAATGCAATTACAGTACGAAGAACCGACATAATTAAAACGAAGATAAATCAGAGTCAAACACCTGAAGAAATTTAAAGCGAAGAGAGAAAAAAAGAGATGAAAAAAGAGAGAACGAAAAAAGAGAGAAAAAAAGAAAAAAAAACAGAGAGGGAAAGAGATAGTGAGATATAAAAATGGATAAAAAAAAATAGACAAAAAGAAAAAGAGAGGAAAAAGAAAAATAGAGAGAGAGCGAAAAACGAAAGAAAAAAACGTTTGAGCTAACCGGTTATCGCTCCTTACTCATCAGAACTCGATCGGGGAAAAAGAACTCTTTTTCTTCCCAACTGATTCCAAGAACACCTGATATTTTCGGTGTTTTTTTAGTCGATTGCCTTCAACTGATGTAGGTCTTGTTATTTGGTAGATCTGTTATTTGAGATTCTGTAGCGCTAATCTATAAGGTCCGAGGAATATCTTTTAAACCTAGAGGATTTATTTGCTTAAAGCCATTTTAAAACATTAATCAGAGAAAACGGTTGTATATAGCTAATAATTTAGACATTTCTGAACGGGTTGGATGGCATTGCACGGCATCTATATTATAGTCTAGACCTGACATCGTTAACATATTCATCGCCAATCACGTTATTGGCAGGTTTTAAGATGACGCCAGCCACGAGTTGTTTCATTTTTGTGGTCTTGCGCAAGGCTAGAAACACGAGATTTTTTTACGTTGTTTTTAACTTAAATAACTGGCAGGAATTTTTAAAAAAATACTGGAAACTAAAAATAAAGATTTATGGGAAATAAATATTGAAAATATATTTCATAAACGAAGAACTTGGAAAAAAAATTATTGCCTAAGTTGGCAATTAAAAAATTGGCATCTAAAGCCAAATTTCGTAATTGAAGCCATTTTTAATTATTGATCTGAGAAAACGATTGTATATATCTGATAGTTTAAACATTTCTGAACGGGTTGGACTCTATGTATGACATCTACACGAGTGTTTAAATCTGACGAGGCTATTTAAGAACATAAATCATGTTCTTAAAATGAGAAATAAGAATAAAAACTGTGTCCAATTTATTTGTCTAATTGTAACCAACACTCTTATATTGGGCGGGAACAAAACACGTGATTTCGTTTTACGAAAATTTATAACATATAATACATATTGTGAAAATGACGTCTTTCAAAAGATTCGTGTAAATGTTGTTACGTTTAAAGTGAAAAATGAAAGCAAATTAGGGGTATTTTTGTCTTTTGCTACTTCGATGTGAAAAAAAAACCTTTGGACGTATAACACATAAACGAAGCACTTGGAAAAAAATTATTGACTTAGTTGGCAATTATAAAGTTAGCGTTTGAAGTCAGGTTAAGAATATTAAGAATATGTCACTAATTCTTAGATTAATTCTTTTGGTTTTGCAGCAACTGGCGGTATTGGGCGAAACTACTCCTAGCGCAGTCTATTCTATGTTCAATTTCCTTATCACCTATACTATTATAACTGATCCATAGACCGAGGTACTTGGAGTGTTTACTAATTCCACATGTTTATGATTGATTGGAAGTATCTGGCATCACTACTTTTATTCCAGTTCATATATATATATATATATATATATATATATATATTTATTTGACGATTATAGATGTGAGTTTGTCACAAACTCACATCTATCCAACCAAATATGTTAGCTCTATCTCTGATATTGAGCGCTTTCTAATAAGTACCATATATAATATATAAATAATTATACATATATATATTTATTTATATTTATATACACTTTTCACACACACACACACACACATATATATATATATATATGAAATTAAAATTTTCAGACATACTGGGTTGTATATTAATATTTTTGTTTTATTATTTCAATTAGATTCCTCAACTAGTTTCGGCCAGCATGGTCATCATCAGGAGAAAACAAATCCCTTCTTGTTAGTAGCAGTGAACTTCAGAAGTGAATGACTGTTTCTGAAGAAAATGAACTTTATCTGTAGTTTTCATTTGTTTTTTATCATTAATTTTGGTCAGTCCTTGTGTTGGTCAAACGGCCTCTTTCAAGTTGTTTTTACAATAGAGGCTGGGGTGATTCCTGACTTTCAGAATTCCCTCCTTGGTCATTTTGACAGTTTTATTATTCTATCTATGGGTTGTGATATCTATCTATCTATCTATCTATCTATCTATCTATCTATCTATCTATCTATGTGCAAGTGTGTATGTGTGTGTATGTGTGTGTGTGTATTTTGTGAAGTTGGTTTCAACAACCCTTCGTATATATAATCATGGTATCTACTGAAAAACAGAAAAAAAAAAACATTATCGTCACTGGCCCAGGGCATCTGAGTAACAATTCAATTACCATCGGTATTATGGATAGTGGCTCGAATTGAGGAATCAGAGAGCCGAGTTCGAATTCCAGTCGAATCCATTACATTCACTTACGTGCTAATACCCTTGGGAAAGGTATGAATCCTCTTCTCCTATCTATGGGTAAATAGCAGGTCAGATCGGGTTCTATAGCCTTGGATGGCAACTGGTCTACCGCAGAAAGAAATAGCAACCTACATCGGGAAAAAAATCTGCCTCGTCAGTCATGTATCGAAAGATACATGATCGCCTAAGCGTGTATCACGCATGGCACATAACTGACTGAATTATCTAAATGAGCCTTTCTTTTATTGTTTTAAATAAGATAGCCACAAGCAAAAGACGGCAATCGGTGATGTCAAAATGCTCCTCATCGTTAATAGTATCATCATCATCATCATCATCATGATCGGCACCATCATCATCATCATCATAATCAGCAGCATCCACATCATCATCACCATGATCAGCACCATCATCATCATGATCATGATCATCAGCATCATCATCATGATCATGATCAGCATCATCATAATCATCATGATCAGAATCATGATCAGCATCATCATCATAATCATCATGATCATCATGATCAGCATCATCATCATCATGATCAGAATCATCATGATCAGAATCATCATGATCATCATCATGATCAGCATCATGATCATCATCATCATCGTCATTTTTCTCTTTCAAACTTAGACCTGTGCTCGAGTCCTAGCCAAAAGTGAGGTAAATAAATAGATAGATAAATAAATAGATAGATATGAACAGGGTGAGATAGATAGATAGATAGATAGATAGATATGAACAGTCCTAGCCAAAAGATACCAGTAACATTGTAGTATTGATTTAAGGGGGAGGGAACACTCACCGCGCTCGGCATGTGAATTGCCAAGGATATCAGTCAGGGATCCTCCATTAGCGCATTATGCTCACTATGGTTCAGTGACAAAATTTATAAAGACTGGGTCATAAAGGATAGATAAATACACACGCACACACACATAAAGAGAGAGAGAGAGAGAAACTTGTAAACTATTTACATTATTCGGACTATTGTCATCGTCGTCATATTTATTACGTTTCGGCCGTTGTACGCTCTGGCCTTCTTCAGGTGGTTGGAATGTCGAACTGAACCCTTTATTTCGCTCACTGGGGTAGAATATGCCATGTTTAATTCCCCTCTCCAAGTTCTCCACTGCCTTAACCGGGTATTGAACTCACACTCTTTCGGTCCTGTCACTGGATCTAACTAATGCCTTTATCCACTGTGCCATGTGTCCTTACCAGTGCTAATATTGCAATTTTTGCTGTTATCGTTCCATGTTTTTACCAGAGTTTATATTGCAATTTTTGTTGTTATTCATTGCTTTTCTCTGGCACTCCTTATTACTGGTTCCCATATTGTATTCATTTCTATGATTGGTCAGCTCAGGAGATTTTTGTGGCTTAGCATATGTGCTGATTCCTTAAGTTTTTCCAATGGTGTTCTCTGTCTATGATCTCAACCTGATCCCACAGAGGGCGGTGATCTCTCTTTTCTCTCCATATGTGTTCAGCCACGCCTGATTTTTCAACTTTCCCTCGTGTTACGGCCGAAACGTTGTAATAAATATGGCGACAAATATGAGGACAATAGTCCGAATAATGTAAATAGTGTACATAATACCTTATCTCAGAAATATAGACAGATACTGAAAGGCCGAAACGTTGTAATAAATATGGCGACAAATATGAGGACAATAGTCCGAATAATGTAAATAGTGTACATAATACCTCATCTCAGAAATATAGACGGATACTGAAAGGCCGAAACGTTGTAATAAATATGGCGACAAATATGAGGATAATAGTCCGAATAATGTAAATAGTGTACATAATACTTTATCTCAGAAATATAGACAGATACTGAAGGGCCGATGTAAATAGATAAATAAATAGATAGATAAATGAATGGATAGATATAAACAGGGATAGATAGATAGATAGATGTGAAACAAAGTGAGGTAAATAGATAAATAAATAGATAGATAAATGAATGCATAGATATGAACAGGGATACATAGATAGATAGATAGATAGATAGATAGATAGATAGATAGATAGATAGATAGATAGATATGAACAGACTGGGTGCACCCCGAGGCGGTGTAATGGTTAGCAAGCTTGTCTCGCTAGAACAATTACGACTGAGTAGTGAGTTTGTTCCTCACTGGGTGCCCCTTATTTTCGGCCTAGTGCCCCATCTGAGCTACGCTTGGAAAATCACAATGAGATTCACAAAAAGTCTTATCTATCTATCTATCTATCTATCTATCTATCTATCTATCTATCTATCTCATTCAATTCATATCCATCTATCTAAAAGACTGCATTTTTGTTGATATTTTCATCATTTTTTTTTCTCTTCTGTATCAAAGAAAAAACTTGAAAGTTTCAAATAACATCTTTCTCTCTTTTATTTTCAAGTGCGTTCTATATTTTTTCTCCCGCGCGCGGGAACGGGCGAACGCCATCTTTACGGGTTTAGACACAAGTTAAGATAATAACACGCCTCTTTTCGAAGTACAGTTTGGCGAATACGCTGTGGCCCTGTACACGTCAGCACTGACGTAGAGGTGGAGACGAACACAGTAAAAAGGGACGTGGGTGCGGAGTTAGGACGCCATTTTTCAGGCGAATGTAGAAAATTATTACTCACTGAAATATTGCCAAAAGGATTGTGAAAGATAGAAGAGATCTAATATTCTTTTGTCTTGGGCAGGGAGAGAGAGAGAGAGAGAGAGAGAGAGAGAGAGTGTGTGTGGGTGTGTGTGTGTGTTTGTGAGAGAGAGAGAGAGGGAGAGAGAGTGTGTGTGTGTGTGTGTGTGTGTGTGTGTGTGTGTGTGTGTGTGTGTGTGTGTATGTGAGAGAGAGAGGGAGGGAGAGAAAAAAAATTTATGAGAGAGAGAGAGAGAGAGAGTGTGAGAGAGAGAGAAGGGGAGAGGGAGAGAGAAAGTGTGTGTAAGAGAGAGAAAGAGAGAGGGGGGACAGGAAAAATGATTTTTTTTTTCTTTTCTTTTATTCAGGATTCTTCTTTTTTTAGCGACTTACATCTGAGACCATATTTTCGATTCCGTCAATTTCGGCTCTTTGTAAAGATCATGTTTTCGTTGGCGCCTTTTTTTTAAATTTTTTTTTTTTCAGGGCTGGGCGGCAGGGTGATAATGTTTGGGTTGGAGGGGGGGATACTTATTCATCTTTTGCGTTCACAAAATGCCCGTGCCATTTCGTGGGGAGAAGTGGGGACGAAAACATAGGGAGAGAAAAAAAAAAAACTAAAAACAAAATGGAAGAAGGAAATGAAGGAAAACCAGAAGGAAATTTCAAAAGAAGAGTAAATATCAGACAAAAATGTGTCCCGAGATATATATATATATATATATATATATATATATATATAAATTCCCCGCTTATATATATATATTTAGTTTTCTTTTCAATCCAACCTCGTAAATAATATGAACTGCTCTACTAGCATTATAGTCCAGTATATATATATATATATATATATATATATATATATATATATATATATAAACGCAAACTTATATATATATATATATATATATATATATATATATATATATATATATAAAAAATACATTTATATATATATATATATATATAAACGTATATATATATATATATATATATATATATATATATATTTTCGTTAGTCTTATTTATTTTATTTTTTCAATCCAAACTCATAAATAATGTGAACCGCTCCACAAGCATTATAGTCTAGTATATATATATATATATATATATATATATATATATATATTATATATGGAAAAAAAAAAAGTAAAAGAAACCTCCGAACAGAAGGAAAGAAATCGTCCAGTTCCTGAAATCTCTGGTACAAAAAAAAAAAAAAAAAAAACAGCGAGTAATAAGTTAAAATGAAGAGTGCTTATCGAATACGAAGTAGAGCAAAAGTAAAAATAAATAAATATTTATATATATATATATATATATATATATATATATATATTTATTTTTGTGTGTGTGTGTGATTTCTGCATTTTTATATATATATATATATATATATATATATATATATATATATATATATATATATATATATATATTTATTTTGTTACTGGTATGGATAATTCTAAGGAATTTAGGAGAGCTCAATGTAGACTTCAGAGAATTATAATAATAAAATAATAATAATATTAGGAGGAAAAGCTTAAAATTCATTTCGATTATAATTTATTTTGTGAATATCTATATATTAATCTTTTAGACCGAAATCTCTTAATACATCCATCTTTAATTTTATATATATATATATATATATATATATATATATATATATATATATATATATATGTATGTATGTATATAAGCGTACATTATATGTAAATATAAAAGTACGAACACATATATGTGTAAGTATAAACACACAATATTTTCTTTACACATACACACACACATATATATATATATATATATATATATATATATATATATATATGGATATAATCAAGTTTTATTTGGGCTATTCTATTAGCCATTATCATGGTTAACAGAATAGACGAAAGCGCTCGGATATATAGAAGAATCGAATAGTTTTTATGCGCCTCGTGTCTAGAAAAGAAAACTCAACTACGTACGCAAGAAGAATTGCATAAAAAGCTTAATCTCAGTAACTTGTCAGTTTTATTTAAAAAAAAAAACTTGTAAAAAAATGGTTTGTTTTCCCAAATACACAATATTTATTATACATACATATGTATATGTAAATATAAACGCACACACATACACACATATGTGTACAACGGTTTCGATCCTAGCTAGAGGCAACCGGACATCTAGTCACACTGTGGATGATGATATATATTAAATTTCTCATATTTAAAAATATTTATTTCGGTTGAGCTCTCCGGGAAGGAAGTGTAGGTTTGTAACTATTAGTG